GTGCCTATCACGTTGAGGTTAGCTACGCCGGGATTCGTTTCAGCAAGTAGATATCCATATATTTAAATGAACCTTGTTGGAGCATACGTAATCCTAAAATGTAGCATCGTACTACAGATGGCGTTTACCGCGCCATTTGTGGTATTTTCTAAAACCCTTGGCAGTTTAAATTTTCTTTTGTTACATTCAGGTGTACAATTGGGCAAATCAAAACGAAATATTATCAGCCTTTTTTTGGGTCTATTTCATACCCCAAATTGCGGCGGGTCAGGCTGCCCAAAGATTCGGAGCCAAATGGATTCTCGTTGTGGCAATGTTACTTACATCTATGGCATCACTTCTGATACCACCACTAGCCGCATTTGGTTCTTGGACTGTGATGTTGTGCAGAGGGATACAGGGATTCAGTCAAGGGTGGCTTTTTCCCTCTTCCTCCTATCTCGTTGGAAAATGGGCACCAGCTTCAGAATTTTCAACCATTATTGGTTTAGTAGCAACTGGTAACTATTCATTACAAATTGTTACTGTTACTCGGTTACTTATCTACTTAATTTCATTGCACAGTTACTAACATTTTATGAATAAATTGTCTCTAGTGCCTGCAATACGTATTCTTGATTAAAATTTTTCTTCTTGAAACTTTGAGGGAGCCAAGTAGGGATCGCTGCGTCCATGGGTGTAACGGGATTGATGAGTGCAAGTACATACGGTTGGCCCTTGGCATTTTACACTTCCGGTTGTCTTGGACTCTTATGGGTCGCCGTGTACATAATTTTAGGAAGTAATTCCCCTCATGAACATAAAGGCATAACCCCTGCGGAGGAGTGCTACATCAGGTCAACCCATGGAAATGAAGACGTCGACAAAGTATTTAATCAGTCATGTTTTTACACTATGGCGCATTTTTAATTAACTATTTTTGTAATGAGTGTAATATTTTATAGCCCCGTTCGACCCCCTGGAAACATATGGTTCTATCTCTTCCAGTTTGGGCAATTCTCGTATCAAATATTTGCTCGGATTGGGCGCTTTACACCTGCCTCACTGAGGTTCCAACGTATATGAATTATGTGTTCGGTTTTAACATACATGATGTACGTGTAACTATACATATATAGGGTTGTTCGGAAAGACAGTTTTCGTATAATAAACAAATATTTTATTAAATTATATATTGACCGTTCTGGTCCAACACCTTTTGCCATCTTTCTGGTAGTAGCATAATTCCAGGCTCATAAAATTTTTGGTCTTTGC